TATAAAAATTCACTCTAATTTCAAGCCCATGACCCTTTCCACTAATGGATTTATATTCTCTTTTGATAAAAGAACATGTAATAATATATTTCTAAATTTTTTTGCTTTAGTTTGTAATCCATCTTTCTCAGGAAAGCATCACAGCAGAACTTTGGGAACTGACTAGGAGAGAATTCTTGCCTTACTATTTCCCTCAGGTTCTCCATATCAGCCAGGTGTAGAATCACTTGGTGTCTCTAAGATAACTCCGATTGTCACACTGAATAAGAAACTGTCTCTAAGCACAGATAATAATGTGTGAATATGGGAGCATTCAAAGACTGATCTTGAATAATTAAAATATAAAATAGAAAAGTTGTGCCTGCCATCTTCCTAGAATGGTGCTGAATAATTTTATATTTTTTACTTTATTCAAATTTTACACCAATCTCTGTCTTATGTAATAAACTGATACAAAGTAAAAATGACTTCTTCAGGGTCATTTAGCTAGGACATAAGACCACATCAATTGGGTCCAAGATCAGTTCTTTTCCTACTATTTATAAACAAAGGAAAGCTGTCTGGGTAATGTAACTTCAAACCAACCAAGAAGGACACTTTGTCTATAAACAATTTCCTACTTGCTCTCTGATGCTTTAAACTTCTTCTAAGAAAGGACAACAAAAACTTTATTTGCTGTGAAATCTAAAGTCTTGAACAAAAATGCTGAGAGAAAGAGCATCGTGGTTTATTGTCACACTGAGGAATAAAATAACAGCTAATAAAGTCTTTTCTAACATTATTTGCATGTACAAAATTTGATTTTTGAAATGGGTAAGCAGGAGTTGTACCACAGGGGGAAAAAGACATTTTTTAAAAAAGGGAAAAGCAGAGGTCTCTGAAGACATTGAGGGAAAAATATCGCAATTTTGAAAAGTACTATGGAGAGAAAGAAGGAACTGGATTACTACAGGTGGAATTCCAGACACACAACCTCTGTTCTTAACAACCAAGCTACACTTTCTGGGCACTGTGGTCCACAATTTGCATACCCTTAGAGATAATCTTCATGTCTTTCCAGAATGGGGGAGAGAGCAAAAAATAAAATAAAATTCCTTGTCATCAAAGCGGAAGAAGGAGAATCGCCTTGTTCTTAGTATTTGCTCTCCAGATGTGAATTTAGTGTCCANCATTCCACAAGAACAGGGATCATTGTCTACTCATTAATTTAACATGACACCCTTAGACTGTGCCTGGCATAAAGTTAATATTCAATAAATATTTGTTGAATGAATATTTGGGTTTTCATATAAAAGAAATTTCAGACATGTTAAGTGTCTTGCTGTCTAAAAAAGAATGTAATACTTTTACATTATTTTTTTCTACATAAAAAATCAGATTTAGTGATTAAAGATATTTTAATTAAATAAGAGTATAACATTGACCCAATTTATCCATTTCTGAAATAAAATATATTTTGAGTATTAAGAAGTTGGAATTTCACAAGACCTTGTTTAAGTTTTGTTTTTATATTTATTAAAAAGACACTATTGGATTTATTTTTTGCTTCATAAATCTTGCAAAGGCCTTTGGTTAAATCAAATTGTAATCTATTCTTATAATATGTCCCCAAAGCCAAATAAGGTAGATGTAGTAAGTAATAATGTAGGAAAACAGATACTTTGAGGGGTTTCTCAAAATTGCACAGGTGGTGCTAGTTGTGACTAGAAAGTATAAAAATTCACTCTAATTTCAAGCCCATGACCCTTTCCACTAATGGATTTATATTCTCT